CCGTGATCACTTCTATCGCATCACCAGAGCCATACTCACCTGCTCCCTCACCGACAAATCCTCCAAAAACCCCAAACTAAACGCGACCGTCGCGACCTCCTCTCACATTTCAAACGCCGAAGTACCTCTCCTCCGTTGCCGTCGCGCCGCCGCTGCCGAAACGCGTCCACAAGCCCACTATGTCCGAGTCTCTCACCACCAAGCAAGTCGCCGAGCACAACACAGTCGAGAAGGGACTGTACATAATAGTCGACAATGATGTATACAAGATGGACTCGTTCGTGGATGAGCACCCAGGTGGCGCTAAGATCCTTAAGAGAGTAGGTGGAAAGGATGCTAGCAAGCAGTTCTGGAAGGTACGTTATAGCCAACACATAGAGAAGGCGAGAAGGAAAGAATGCCTGGGACGATTCGTTCCGCGCGGTCTTCCAGGGCCGGATTTGCTGTCGCGCGTTTGGTCTTGGTACCGCCGCGCTGATGGTACTCGGTGCTCGGTGCTCGGTACCAGCGGAATCATGGCAGACTGGACCCTTGATTTGATCATCGAAAGTGCCTTATCGCACATGAAGTTTGGATATGCTGACCAAGACACAGTACCACAACGAGAGCGTATTGAAGAAGTACGCACCTAAGCTCAAGATTGGCACAGTCAAGGAGGAGTCCAAGTTATAGATACACAATTAATTATACCAATGATCACCATTCAATTCACTTGCGTTGCACGTCTCCTTGTATATCGCGCATCAAATACCCAATCCATGAAGAAATGCGATGCCATGACGCGATGTTCACCGCCTGTTGCATGTTCATTCACTACACCAGCAAGAATACCACGAGATCAATGCAAAACTATAAATTACGACAAAAATCTACTCTATGGACGTATTGGTATAATGCGTTCTCTCTGATTCAAAAGCAATAAGCTCGCAAAAACAAACATGCCGTGGGTATCGTGATATAGCAAACGCCTGTTTTCAATGCTGCGCGAAAATATGCCAAAATCGTTGCTGCGTAATGTCACTCTTGTTCTCTCTCCCAATCTCTGCTCTTCTCATCTAAAAGCAGGTCCACCGCTTCTTAACACCCGGTCTTGAGTTTGGCCTGGGTGTAGGACTCGTCCGCGGCCGCGCACTGTCCTTCTCATTCATATGCGCGTCATCCAAATCGTCCATGCGATAGCGGCGCACAGATCCAGCATCCGACTGATCTTTCTCGTAGAACTTCTCTTGCGGGCCGGATACACATCGTGGTGTTACTTTGCGGAAGAAGCCTCGTAGACCGCTGTTGGCTTTGTCGATTCTTTCGTATTCGCGTTTGCGCGTGCACGGTGATGTCCAGTGCATGGTTGTATTGGTCTTCTCTGCGTCGATTGTGTCTTCGCTTTGGCGGGGCATGGATGTTTCTTCCACTACGCGTAGACTGTCTGAACTGAAACGCGTTGCTGCGCTGGGAAAACCGAATGCGTCGCCGTGAGACATTGCCGGACTTGGAAGACCGGAATTTGACTGATAGGATGGATTTGAGAAGATGCTGCAGCTGCGAAAGTGCAGAGCGAGAACGTCGTCGACATCTTGGCTGGTTGTGGTGGCGGGGGGTGTTTGGAAACTCTTCACTCGGTAGTGGCGCGCAGGTCTTGAGGGGTCCACGATAGTACAGGAAGTGCGTCGCGATGAGGGCTTTGAGCCATGGCCACGGCTCTTCGATCTGCTGTTTGAGTTTTCTGATGATGTGGTTGACTGTTGTCGTAATGGTCGTGAGCGCTGCTCTGATACTGGTCGTCGTGGCTCCATGTCTGCAACCCGGAAAGAGGAGATCGATTCGACTTTATTCCTGTGATGTTTGCTATGCTGAGTAGTGTTGTTGTTGCACAGTGGTTCTTGGCTGGGTATCTTGGGTAGACAGGAACCCGCAACACTATCAATTCGATTCATCGCCGATCTATCAAAGATCGAGAACGGGGAGTGACGTAGATGTGAGGTGTGTCAAAGGATATTGAGTCGGTAATATTGTCTTAGTGGTGAATAATTTCGGTACTCGTCTAGGTCGGATATCAGTATCGGAATAGGAAGGTTCTGTGCTCAAGGGGTAAAAGCCCATACCAGCAGCCAGTGCCAACACCGAAACACACAGATTTGGATTCCTCGCGCGAACGGCACACACAAGCGTTATAAGAGAATGAAATCTGGAATCACAGGCGGGCTATGTGACGCCAGTAATTGTTGGGTCAGTCAAGTGACGAACCGCGGGACCCGCCTGGAGGACTATTGAATCAACCGCGGTCAGTAGGAGGGAAACTAGGGCCTAGTATATAAAGAAGAGATCAAAACGTCCCAAATGTCGATCTTGGCCGTTGGTTGGCCCAGACCCTGCCAGCATGCAGCGAGACGCACGGCATGCACGATCTCTTGACGAGTTTGAGCCGAGCGCGTGGGCACCTCTACGAAAAGGGTTGGGAGTTCACCGCCTCCCAGGACTCGATTTCCGGGGCCTGAATAGACTAGGCGCGTGAAAAGACTAGCGGCGCGATTAAACTGGAGAAGGATTTCGCTAGCTTCCGTGCGTTCGAGACGGAGCATGACAGATGCACTAAATATGTCACAATCAGAGTCGCACATGGGGGGCAGAGGACGAAACATTCAAGTATGATGTCGTCGGCTTTCACATGCCAGCGGTGATGTGGTAGCGCGTGAGAGGCCACACACACAGCTTCGGACGCTGATCACTTCGGGTTGGCTCGTGATAAGGGAAGGAGGGCGCGAGGCCATGTCGAATAGACGCGAGTGGCAGCCTCGTCTACCGACAAGTCGATCCGGCACAACCTTGGGAGTGCAGCACGGACGGCGGGAAGGACCGAATCAAATCAAAGAACGACAGGCCAGCGACATCGGGCCAAGATGACCCACGCTCGACTCAGGCAAGCGCACGCGGAAATGTCGAGCCTGAAAAGTAAAGGATGCCAAATGAAGCGCTGCGCATGGCGTCGTGGGCATTGCTGAGAGGGGCGTCAGGGAAGATTACACCAAACCGCTGCGGCGGGTACCGGCGCAGAACCCTGAACCACCACCCTAAAATACATCCATTTCTCCCACAGCCCTTTCTCTCACGAATGGGAGGCTGTAAAAGTCTTTACTCCCACATGTATGTCTTGTGGGTGCGCGGCCCGCTGCCTTACTGCTTACAGTTATCCGCTGCAAACGCTCTTTGGAGGGTGGAACCCATGCGCCAAGGCCACATCCAATGCAGATGATGCAGCTGATCGGGCCAGGGACGCCGCCAATGGCTATGTCATGCGGCAGCACAACACCACCAATGGCGTTCTACTCGCACGCGGAGATGAGTCTGCATTGCAGCTTTTTTGTCGCTAAGCTAGTCATCGCAAGGGTCGTCTGGAAGATCGGCTCGCACGTGGTATCCTCACGAACCCCTCTTTCACTCCACCACGCAGGCACAATGCGCACACTGCGAACTCAGTGCGAGGCATCACAGAAAGGCGGTATGACTTGGCAGGTACACTTCTGCCTTTTGACTCGCAAGTAAGAGGGCCTGTGCGATGAAACGAACGCAGAACTTCTCCACTACCCTACAGTTCCGTGAGTGCGTGCCCCGTTCCGCGGGTCGTTCGGAAATAACCTGTACGGATTGCTTATTGTATCTCGTGGTAAAACCCCTCAATCAATTTCGCAACTTCGTCAAAAGCCTCAAGACAGTGCCAATGCCCGACTCCCTCCATAACCTCCAACTTCTTCTCGCTGCTACCAATCTCTTCAAACATCTTCTTGCATCCTTCAAGCGGTGCGCTCCTGTCCTGCTCACCAGCGAGAATGAGTACGGGCACGCTGATCTTGCTGTACTGAGGCGGCTTTGCATTGATAATGACTCGACAGTTGGAAATATAACCCGCTGGATCCTGCGATAGCAATAACTCGCGGATCATCGCTTTGACCAGTGGAGACGCTTTCTTCCCGACTGCAGCATGTGGGATGCTGTCGGCCATGGGTTGCATACCGTCTTTTGCAACGGTTTCTATCCGTTCGTGAAAGCGGGGGCCTGCCTCAGGGTTGGGATATACAGGGCCGATCAGAATAGCTGCAACAATGCGGTCACTTCGCTCAGCCGCAAGGTGTGCGCCGACGATGCTAGAAACGTGTCAGTTGTCGTGTTCGTGCAGTCGCGTCTTCCAAGGCTTCTTTCTGCCCGAGACGTTGCTGACGTACCCTCCCATGCTGTGCCCAACGAACACAGCCTTGTCGACGTTCAGCGCGTCGAGAATCCCAATCACATCTTCTCCTAGCGTCTCAATACTCTGCTCGACAAATGTGTACGTCGATCGACCAGCCCCTGTGTTGTCAAAGGTAATGCAGCGAAATCCATTCGCGACCAAGCTCTGAGTTACTGGTTGATAGTAATTCTGCGAAGAGCCCAGCCCGTGCATGAAGATGAGTGTTTCGCATGTCTTGCCATCTTGTGGTTTCAAGTCGGTGTAGTGAAAGCGTTTGTAGCCGACGTGGAGGAAAGGCATGTTGGATGGAACGTAGCCGTGTTTGTGAGTTCGTTTCACATCAGCTTGAGATGGGTGACGGGACTGGTTCCGATCGGAAGCGGAACCATGCGGATAGTGCTGATGACATCACTGGGGTACAGCAAGCACAAGAACACTGAACTTCGTCGCATCTGCACAAATTTACGTTTCTCTAACCCGAAAGCCATGATTTATTACCGATGCAGTAGATCTGAATGTATGATAGCCACAGCTCTTACGACGTCGTACCAGGCAATGAAAAGACACCTCCTCTCAACTGTCCCTCGACCCATCTGTAATAATCTTCATCTGATACCACTCATGCATCGCCTGCTTGCACTCCTCTCTCAATCTCGCGGTTGCTGGCCCATCGTCCTTCAATAACGTCGATAGTAGTTGCGCCAGCCCCTCTCTCGTAGTAACTTCCTTCAACGCGTCTAAGCCAGGATCCTCTTTCGTCGTTTCCACGATGCTTAGCATTCTACTCGCATCGCTCCTCGCCCTCGATCTCCTCCGCCTGCCGAAAATTGAGAATACGCTTCGTGACTGTGTTTGCGTTTCTGCCTCATTGGCATCCCACAGAGCCACTCGACTGATGAAGTGCTTGATGGCCGCCTCTTCGAAACTTTCTCTTCGCCGCTCGATCGCCTTTTCGAATTCTGGGTCAGCCCACTCCGGGTTCCTGGGTTCCCATCTGTGAAGAAGATATCGAAACGTGCGCACTTCAGCGTCGGGTATAGATAGGTCGCCGAAATCTGTAGTGAAGGGATCGTAGGAGATGGAGGAGGAAGATGAAGTCGGTCGTTCGCTGGTGGTACTGGTTGGTGTTGCGACGTGGCCGTGTTTCCGTTCGAGAGCGTGGTGCGTATCTATGACTTTTTGGAGAGCAACTTTGCGGTTTTGGAGGACAGCGTCGGTGCCTTCGAAGAGGTGTGAAGAGGATGGTTTGCTGGACAGGTGGCTTCTGCTGCGACGGAGGCCGAAGGTGTGATGTCGCTTGGATTCTAGAGATGATCGTGTCATGGTGTCTGTGTCCATATTCAACCCAGTTGTCTTTTCGCGGAGTAGTCAAGATAAGGATTAGTCTAAATAGAACAATAGAGGTGAGATCAAGCGTATCGTTGTGAATATTCAGTTCCTAGAGCATACGTATGGTGAAAGAAGTGAAACCCATGAAAGAGAAAAAACAGAAACCAGGAAGAAAGGCCACAGACTCAACCCTCTGCCAACAAACTCAACCGTGGATGCCGGCTAACCCAGACGCCCACGCCCAATTGACGCACATCCCGTTAGCCGAGAAGGGGGAAGGGGGTGACGCAAGCCCTTTTCTGACATGCAGATCTGCGAGGGCAGACTCATCTTCACCACCGGCGTTGTATAAGGTGTAAAAGTTGTGTCGCGGAACGCTGACTCTAGTGACGATCTATTGGCAGCGACTGTGCCACCGCTTTGTTGAGCCACTTCATGAGCCACTTCGTGGTTCAGTCACTGCGCCGCAGGGTGTGCGGCATTTTTCGGCGTTAATTAAAGTGGGGACGACGACACGCTGGCTAGGGAGCTGACGCCAAGTTGTGCTTTGGCCGATGATCCGGCGAGCACAATGCTGCCGTGAGGTTGCTCGTGCTGCGAGCTTACGCGTCGAAATGTCTGTTCTGAGAGTGTGCGTGCTGGGCCGTCATTGCATCGTATTGTAACCCCGCACGGTGAAGCTTTGACAGGAAGAAGATTGAGTCAACACGATGAACCGACCGAACGGGTATATATTCAAATTCGCACTGCAGCAATATTCAATCATCAAGCGCTGCCGGCGAGAATGCTACGATGTACCTGGAACACGAAGGAAGTCCTCTATGGTTTCCTTCAGTGAGCATAACGCCATGCGATGCAAGAACGATCGGCCTATAACAACGCGAACGGGAACTCGAAAAGCCGCAAATCATCCACCAGTCAATCCTTAAATTGGCCAAGAAAATGCGGTTTACTCGGAAGGCGGTACAGGCTCCGTCTTGCCGTTGGGTAATATGTGTTGGGTGGTGCTCATACGAACGCTGGACGGCCTTTCCAGCTTCTTCCCGTCTTCTGCAGCATTTCCATTCTGCACGTCTTCCTCGAGATCCTTGTGTCCACTCGTGACATCAGGCAGCGCTTCAGCTTCGTTCAATGCTTGTTTGACCAACTTCTTCGCCTCGATCGCAAGATTGGGGATTTCCTCCACCTCCTTGTTCTTGTTCAGGTACGAGTCCAGTAGCGCTTTGAGCGTCTGCGCGCGAACTGGTTTCGCGAGGTAATTGTTCATACCTACTAGGTCAGCGTATGTTTCAAACGTAAAGTAAGCTGCCAGAACTTACCGGATTCCAGGCACTTCTCGCGGTCTCCTTGTATAGCGGAAGCGGTCATGGCAATGATGAGTACATTTCGAATCTCGGGATTGGGATGCTTGCGGATCAGTTTCGTAGCTATACATAGTCAGTATTCAGGTGCTAGCCAAGGCGCGAGTAGCAATCCTCACCTTCGTAGCCATCACAATGCGGCATTTGCACATCCATGAGAATAAGATGGAAGGGGCGACCATTCTCTGAAGCACGCTCAAGAGCGTCGATAGTCTTGTATCCGTCGAGATAAGCGTCGCATTTGAAGCCAAGCTTTTGCACGAAGCTGATTGCGATGCGCTGGTTGATCAAGTTGTCTTCCGCAATGCAGACCCGTAGTTCTCGTCTGGGTATCGTGGAAAGATCGATGCAGGAACCCGACAGTTGCTCATGGCCATTGTTTTCCTGACTTGAGAACCTAGCCATAGGGTCTGGCTCTCGTGTCCTTTGCTGCTGACTGCCTGCTTGCGCTTTCGGCACCTTCTTGAATCGCAACGAAAAGGTGACTGTTGTACCTTGGCCTGGCTGGCTGTCGAGACGTACTGTACCATGCATAACGTTCTCTATGAGAGCTTTGCAAATACTCAGACCAAGGCCAGTGCCGCCGTAGCTCCTAGCAGAGCTGGACTCTATCTGCGAAAAAGGAAGGAACAATTTCTGCTTCTGTTCATCTGGAATACCGATGCCAGTATCTATAACGCTGCATGTCACATCTGCCCAGTCGTCTGTCTCTTGGTCAACAACAGCGCGAACAGTGACAGATCCTCGTGGCGTGAACTTGTAGCTGTTGGACAGCAAGTTCATGAGGATCTGATGCAATCGAACAGGGTCGCCCATAACGAGCATCTCTGGATCCAGATGCAATTGCTCAATGGTTTTGAGGCCTCTTTCGGCGTTTGTGTAGGCCAAAGCGCGGACTACTTCCGCAATTGTTTCGCTCAATGAAATGGGCATCTCCAAGACATTCATTTTGCCAGCCTCGAGCTTGGAGTAATCCAGAAGGTCGTTAATGATCGAGAGCAGCGTATCGGCGCAGACACGAATTGAATCGGCGTATCCGGTTTGTTCCGAGTTTAGCGGTGAAGCCTTCAACAGCTCAGACATACCAATCACGCCGTTCAAGGGAGTACGCAACTCGTGCGACACGTTGGCCAGGAACAAACTCTTTGCCTTCGCGGCTTCTTCTTTCAGCTTCATGTTACGCACAGCTATGGCTTCAGCCTCTTTCGCCTTGATCTCTGCTGCCCGCGCCTGTGACAAAGCGCGTTTCTGCATCTCAAGCATGGCTTCGTTGCTTGCGGATACTCTTTCCACCTCTTTGAAAAGCAGTGCATTGGCTAAGGAGATGGAAATTTGATTGACCAGTAACCGAAGCACCTGGGTGTTACGTTCGGTAAACGAATTCGGCGGGCCCTCGACGTATATTGAACCAAGAAGGTGATCGCTGTGTAGAATCGGGATGCAGATGACTGCCTTCCCCTCGGGATTCCGTTGAAGGTAGGCGTCAGAAACGTTGGAGAAGCGGTCGTCTTCTAGTAGATTCTGGACGAAGACTATCTCTCGGAAGCGGAGTGTGTAGAGCGTCACTTGCCGCGCAACAACATCGTCCACAGTATCTAAAGGTTGACTAGCAGGGAAGGATGTGACGCCGGAAGAGACCCCACTGTCGTTGTCAGGCTCGTTGGTGGCAACGCATGCGATCGACCATTCGATTTGTGAGTCTTCAATCACTATGCCGCACAAGGTACCGCCCGTAGATTCGAGCAAAATGGTACTCATCTTCGCCATCAACTTGTCGACGACGAGCTCGCTAGACAAGACTTGACTCGACTCCAAGATTGAGGATAGGTCTAGCATGTCCAGACCGACAGCCGAGAGACCGTTGTGTAGAGCTGGAGCAGACTCTTGGCGCCGTGTTTCCGGGACAATCCAGTTCTGTGTTCGATCGACTGCAGTCTCCGCGCCCAGAAATTGATCATGGTCATTTTGCTCCAGTCTGAAGGCCGTGTTACCCGTATCTACGAGGGAGGTTTGCACAGCTTGGTCCACTGTCGTGAGCGAGGCGCCACTACGCACTAGCCACTCATACCGACTCGCGAAGTGATTTGCTTTTCCGTATGCTGACATCCTCCGATATACCGAGATGCAGTCTTTCAAAGAGTGTCGGGCCGCCCTGTAGGCCTTCTTGTCTACCAACCATCCAGTGTAGAGCTCGAGAGCAAACGCTTCGTCCAATGCAAACTCGTAACGTTCGCTATGCTCCATGGCTGCCTCATAATTCTCCAGCGCGGATTGCGGATCGGCATTAACATCCCCGAGGACGGCAGTGAGAAGATGTATCCAGCCCCGGTAGTTGACATCAGTGGTGGTGCAACATGTCTCGAGCAATTTGAGGGTCTCATGAACGTGTTTTACCATCTCGTCTCTCCGGCTATGAGCGGGCTTCTCTCGAAGAACAGCCATGTATGCTAACGATAAGTAGTATCGGACCGAGTAATTGAGTCGTTCTGACCAGAGACTGCTCAGCATTGGCAGTAGCATCTCCCCAAGAGCCACTGCATCCGAATGATGACCATAGAGTACCAACAACGGAAGTTTGGTTGCAAGATATATAGACTTGGGACGCTTGGGATTGCTGGCCGTGTTTTCGAGGAACTCAATGTACTCGACCTCATTGTGATCGTCATCCGAGAGGAGGGAAAGAGCGTTGCTTGAGTCAGTCTTTCCCTGGAGCGCTCTTGCATATTGACGAGCAGCCATAAGAAAAACTCCTCCACGCATGTCTTTCTGCCAGTTTCGCATATCAAGCGGTGTTTCTTCAATCCAGGCTTCCAATTCTGCGACGTCGTATGAAGCCATGACCCTAAAGTGAGCCTGTACACCAAGATTTAGAAGTGTGAGGATGCGATCGCCAGCAGTTAGTGAAGCCTGCAAGGCTGTTTCTAAGCTCGGTATCAGATCGCCTACAGGCGCTTCCAAGTGACCCAGAAACATTGGCTGCAAAGTTTGACCTCGTCCCAGGGTGTAGTAGTCTTCAGGAAACTGCAGAGGTAGAGGTATGAAGTCAGCATATATCTCACGTGCACTTCGTATAGCCAGAACTTACCATCTGAAAGATTCGCTTTGCAATCGCACCCATGTCGACTGCGAAATTCGTCATTCCGAAACGACCGCCCGCAACAGTGCCCAGATGCACGTATGCAAGGGCAACCTGTGACATGGTCCCCTTTTCGAGATGGACGGTGATAAGCTTCAGCGTCGCCTGATAGAAAAGCAGGCTGTTCGACCAGAACGCCGCACTAAGGAGTTCGATGAAGACAGGCCCAATAGTCATCAGGACACGGTCATCAGGAGACGGACGCCGCTTGAGCAGTTCTTCCTTATCGATGTTCTGAAGCGTGCCGTGTATCTGCTGAAATTGAGCATCGCACGCCTCCCATGTTGTCGGAGGAATAGGGGAATTGAGCAAAGACAAACAGTCTTTGAGAGCCTGGAACGCACTATAGATGGTGATGTCGTTAGCTGACTGCCGCGATAGTTGCAGTGATGAAAGGCGACAGGTACACATGCAAGTTTCAAAGGTCGTGCTATCTTGCAAGAGTGAAACCTGCTCCAGGCGCATGCACGGAAAGGATGTGGAACATTACTTACCCG